GATTAAGCTCCTTACTTCAAGTTACATGCTTAGTATGGGCCAGAGAGGAGGTTTACTCCCAAGTGTTTTGAAGCTAGAGCAGAGTTCTGCCTCACACTGAGGAATGTTCTAAGTAGAAGCAGCTTCTGCTGTCAGTAGCAGGTCAGCACCAGCTCCCGGGGGAAGGAAATCATAGTTTGGAAAGAAGCAAATTATATCAGAGGAAGTTGAAAATTAAAACACATTCCCACCAAGTGGGAGATTCACGAAGGTTGGGACCCTGTATACTTTTCATTGCAGGAATCACTAGTATGCTTATGGCATGAACGTTTTGACTAAAGTTTGGAGCATGCTGAGGAGATATGGTTTTATTTGCTAAAAACATAAGCCAGGACTCATTTCAAGGAAGGATTATGACTGGGCAACAAATTCAGTATAAAAATTAAGACTATCTGGAAATAGAAGGAAGGATTTTAAAGATTGTGCTGGAAGGAAAAGTCAGACATACCAAGAACAACAATTATTTTCAAAGACTAAATTTATGAAGCCAATGTTCTATTATGATGGAATGTAATCCTTCTGAGACTTTTGCAATCATGCAATATTTCATTCTTTGCCTTTTGTTTGAGGTCGTCCATTAAGCAAGAAGATATTCCTGAAACATATTTTATACAAGTCACTTTTCCTTCTATGACTTTCATCTCTACCTTGATTTTATAATTTTTCTTCCTTTCTTATTTTATTACTGCAAAGGCATTATCAGTGTGTCTTTAGTTTCGTGGTCATTCTTAAACTTATTATATTTGTTTATTTCAAAGTGTTTTCTGTGAGCTATCACCTCCTGAGTTTTTCTAATGTAGATTTGTGAAGTTCTCTTGCTTCTTCTATAACTATCTCAATTTATTTTAGCTTATTTTGAAAGTTTCCTTTGAGCTTTTATCTCTTTGGAGTTTTCCCTTTTTCTGTGTGGGCATTATTCTACTCTATCTTTGTGTGTGTGTGTGTGTGTGTGTGTTTCTATCTTCTTATAATAGTGGTTTAAAATCCCTGGGATTGTTGTTGTTCACATCAAATTGATTTCATGAAATCTTAGGAAGGAATGGTGGGTGAGAAGTATTGTCCAGGTGCAGAGTCCTGATGCTCTCTTCTGTAATTTTAAGATATGGCCCCTTACCACTTGAAATCTCCTAATGGGTTCCTTTTTCATTTTAAACGTAACATGGTTTCTCTTCTGACAAGTGTAGATCATCTTTCCAACATGCCCCTCTCAGTGTGGAGCTGGAGGTGGAAGGCTTACTGGGGATTTCACAGACTTTGGATTCTTCGTGCCACTTCATGTCTGGTAGCAGTCCTCAATTTAGAGTCCATAAGAATCCTTAGGATTTTGACGGTATTCTTTGATCTGTTGTGCTTTACCTCCAGGGGGCAATTCTGTGTGCTCCTGTTTGCAAACTGTGCATTATGTGATGAACTTGACTCTTTCCTCCAGACAGGATGTCACTATGGTTTGAATGCCCCCTCCAAAAGTCCTGTTGAAATTTAATTTCCCCTGTGATGATATTGGGAGGGGGGACCTTCACAAGGTGCTGAGTGACCAGAGCAGCACTTTATGCACAGACCTGCACGGCTGCTCAGTCCTGAGTTGCTCATCACGGGAACTGCTTTACTACCAAGCTGAACTGTTACCCAGAGGTTTCCTGGCGCTCTTGCTGTCTTCAGTGTCCCCAGGCCCTGTGGGACCCTCCTTTGTTATAACACAGCGAGAAGACCCCTGTCAAGCACAGGGCCATTGTCTTGGACGTCCAGCCTCCAGAATCCTGAGCCAAATGGTCTTCTGTGGTTATGATTCACCCAGTGTGCTGCATTCTGTTCCAACAGCAGGAAAAACACTGCGGTTGTTGTTGCTACAACTCAAACACTGTTGTAGCAGGCTTGTGCCCCAGCTCACCTACCATGATTTCTCAGAGTGGGCATCACCTGTGGGGTTTCCTCTTGGTGGAGTTGATACACTGGCTTTTGAGGGGAGACCCCCATGGTCATCATTCCCCAGAACCTCCACCTCCCCCCGGGCCCTTCTCTTTGTCTCTCAACAACATACAAGTGTGGCTTCCCCTGAAGACCTCAGCAGGCATGGCCAGCGCCTCCTCCAATCTGTGCCTTAGTGTATTAAAGGGATAGACTGCTTAATTTAACTGATATAACAAAGAACTACTATTTTATACATGAAATCTTAATAACTTCATACCCAGAGGCACACACTCTGATCCTATTTGGACATTGATTTAGTTCTTTACAAAACATTCTCATTTCCCTGCTATGACATTTAAGAAATCAACATGTCCATTCTATGCCCTCACAGAGTAGTTTTATTTATTTGAGCTTACTGTAAAAGGGTGCTCTTTTTCCTCTTTAATCTAAATGTTCCAAATTATCCTTCCTATCCTAGTAAAATTTGGGGGAAAGAAAAGCTTAGCAAATAAAAGTGAAATATGTGTAAGGGCCACAGAAATCTATTTTTGCAATTTCAAGGAAAGTAATAATTTCTCCATCATCCCAGGTTGTGTATTAGTTATATTAAGAAAATCAAAAGAGCCGGGTGCATTGGTCATGCCTGTGATCCCAGCTACTCATGAGGCTGAGGCAGGAGGATTGTAAATTCAAGGTCACCCTGGACAACAAAGTAAAACTCTATCTCAAAATAAATAAAAAAATAAAGATAAAAAGTGCTGGGAATGTAGCTCAATGGTAAAGCACCAGTATTAAAAATAATACTTTTAAAGTTTTTAAAAAGAAAAGAAAGAAAAAATTAAAGTAGAATTCAAATGCATGGAAACCCTTTCTACATTTTTGTACTGTTCAATTATGGATAAAATACACAATATCTATCTGAGTGGAAGTATAGCAAGCTACCATGGGCTATACTATGCCATGGAGGTACTTAGAATTACTTCTGCTTTCATGATAATATTTTATATATTTTCTGCATAATGATACCAACTATCCCCTGGAGCCAAACCATTTGGTGGGACTGGTAACCCGGACAAGCCCATTGTGCAGACAGACTCTTCCAAGGGGCCCATGATATGTGGCCTTACAGTCTGGTAGTTCGTGAACACAGAGATTGTGGCATCTCCATGGTGTTTCCTAATTATCTATCTTAACAGAATTAGATAACTTAGTCAAACAGAATATGTGATTTAAAATGATTAAAACAAGATTTGTTGCACAACATACCTTATTTGCCTTCACTAATTTATATAGTCAATAAAAAAAAAACAACATTTGCCAACAGTGAGGTTTTTCACAAAAATAATCTTTACGTGTCACACATGCCAGCCTGGTGAGACAGGTTACAAACATTTGTGGCTTCAGTTCTCCACTATCATCATTTCAATACATGTAGAAAACCCCTTCATAAAGCATTGAGTATGAATTCTACAAAATTCAATATACTTTACAGCTAAATATTTTTCTAGGTTTGATTAAAATATTTATCCTGGGGCCAAATAACATTTTCAAAGATGACTCCTGATTTATTTTAAAAAAAAGTCTCATACAGGTGTTACTGAATCAATTTTCACCTGAATGATGACACATTTTTTGCCTGGGAAGAGTAATTATTTAAAACTTGGGGGACATAAGTATCGTAGGAAAGGGCAGGAGACTCTCTGTTTATGCATTGTGGTTGGGATGGCTTAATCAGAATCTTAAAACTATTCAAAACATTAAATCTCCCCCAGCTGTTTAGATCTAATTAAACTGGAAACACAGTGCAAGGTGAACTAAACAAAACCACAACCATGACACCCACAAGAACAAAGCCAAGTCCTCCTGAGCTGTCCAAGATATAAAGTAGGATGCACAGCATGCCTGACCCATTGTGCCCAGGGCTGCCATCTCCCGTGAAGACTGAACCCAAACATCTCTACATTGTGTTCCCTACATCTGCATAAGTCGTATTCCAGTCTCCACAAAATGCTTCTCTTTTAATCTCTTCTGATAATGGAAGCATTCTCTCTTCAAAATCAGCCATTCATTAATTTTATTTCAAGGTGTTAACACTCTTTTTTCCCCTCAAGTATTCAGATGTCTTTTTTTTTTTTGAGGTTTAACTTCATCTTTAAAACATCCACACAACAGAAAATGTTAAGTGTCTCTTGTAAGATATAGAATGATTACTAAGCTGCTCTCTGCTTCCAAAATTCTTGGAAAAGTTACAAAGAAAGGCAAGAAAAAGAATTAAACTTTATAGGGAGTCCAATATTTTCCCTCCACTGTGCCACTGCTAGTACTTAATTTTCCTTAGTTTATTTAATTTACTTGCCTTATTGAAACCTTTAGAGTGGAGCAGTTTTTCTGGGAACATTTCACTTGTGGAGAAATAGCAGGATCAAGATGGTGAGTTAATTATAAGCGGATTTGATGATTGTGGGCTGACATTGCTGACCCAAGGGGCTCCTTGGACTCCTCCCACAGTATCCTGCAGGCCAAGGGAGTGTTTTGTATTCTTTCATGACAAATTCAGACAGGTGTGGCCATGGGACACAGATGAGAAGCTCAGAAAAGCAAAGTCCTTATCCTCACCTGCCCCAGAGACAGAAACCCTTGCAGGCAGCATGGGAACACCTGGGAAGGATGCCAGTCCAGGAAGCAGGCGGAGACAGGAGTGAGGAAGAGTCCAGGAAGCAGGCTCTATTATGGTTTCCAAGTGAGAGGCAGGTTAGGGCCAGGAGAACCCCTGAGGAGAGGAGCGGCTGGCTTGGATCATCTCCATGGGCTCTAAACTATGCAGAGGTCTCTGGTGGCCCAGCTCCTGGACTGGCCCTGCTTAGGCAGACTTTGCTGGCCTAGGTGCACAGGTCACACCCAGGAGGTCTGGCTCAGTTGAGTTTGCAAATCAAAAACATTTCCCTGCCTGGGCCCCTTTGTTGCCTATTAGGAATTGTCCTGCAAGGGATGTCAGTTTCTCCCCTACCCAGAGAGGGTTTGTAAGATGTCAGAACACCACAATACACAGGAAATTTAATTAAAATGTTTAATGCAGGAAGACATTCACGTGGCCAGTCTTTCCCTGCAAAATGATCATTTATTATTTTTCAAGATAAAATTGAAGTTGTAGAGTTGATATTTACTTGTGTAAGTTACCTGTATCTTGTGACATTTATCTGTTCTTAAAATAATAGTGCAACCCAAATAAATATAGGTGATATAAAAATCAACTGTGAACAATTGTTTGCAAGGATAATGGTTATATAAGACTGCATGTGATACTGTCACATACTTTGACCAAAGACTCCTTTACTCTTTCTCAAAATCTAAACAGAAATTCTTGTTGTGTTTCTCCTAGTCTATAATATCTCACAAATAGCACATTATAATCAGTGTAGCTTACAGCTACATGGATGAACAAGAATTACTGTTTGGCTTGTGACAAACATTGTAGTCATCAAAAAATAACTCACCTGTCCCTACACCTATTTCCTCCCTGTGAAAACATAGCAAAGCAGGATGCTGCTACTGTCTTTATATACAGTCAATCCCTGTTGTTCACCTGGTCACTCCTCAAAATTAGAAACTGTGTAAATGTCAATAATAGCTCTTTCAAATAAAATACTCAGTTCAAGAAGAAAAGAAAAACTAAGTCCCCTGGAAAGTACTTTCTATATTCTTTTCAGCAATGGGGTGGCACTGGCACTGTTAAATGTCTCTATACAGAGAGGGAGAGAGGAGAAAAGGAGAGTGTAGAGAATACATGTGAGAAGGGAAAGCCATTAATGACAAACAGAACATACACTGACAAGGTTAAGAGTGTCCTCAACCATGAGACGCCCTTTCTCCATGTTTCCCAGCAGTTTCTGGTTCCAAACATAGTCCAATTTGCCTTAGTAGGAATTCCTTTCTCAAGCAGATGAACAGACGAGGTGTTGAGACAGGCAGGTCGTTTGGGGCCAAGGGAAGGCATTGCTGGGTGAGATGCGGAGATGGAGGTGATGAAGTGGAAAGGCACCCAGAGCAGAGGTGGAATCCCACTGGGATCTGGGAAGCAAAAAAGAAAGTAAGGCTCAGAATAGCACCTCAGCCTGTGGTCAGGGGATGAGGACCACCTACCTTCAGGGGGCCTCGCTTATGGGGGAAGTGGGCCCTGGTCAGGGAAAGGGGCACTGATGGAGGAAAGCACACACAGGGGTTGATCTGACACCAACAAATTCTAATACCCTCTCACAAATCTTTCTCCTCAACGGTTTGTAAATCCTCAAGTAGTCTAAAGTACCTGTGATGATAACATCGCTATCTTTTGGAGAGTCATAAATATCTATAGGGTGCAGTTACAATAATAAGGTCAGAAAATAATTTTCCAACCTATTTCTGGGATTCAATAAATTTGCAAATAACTTGGTTCAGTAAAATGAAGAAAAAATATTTCTTGTAAGGTTTGTCAGACAATTTTATAGGATACCGTTCATAATAAGTGCCCACCCTTTTCTTAAAATAGAACATTAGTTAGTTACTTTGTGTCAGACACTTAAAGTACCACCTTTTGAAGTTTGCATTGTGCTAGAGTTCATCTGAAGACAATGCACATCATTAAATAAATTGTGTCGTGGAATAAAAATCTAATGCATTGAAGAAAGATAAAAGGAGGTAGAGGTGCTGGAGTAAGGAGAAACAAGTGGTTTTGGAGAGGATTTTGGATGTTCTTATCACAAGGAAGTGAGCAAGGTAGGATTTGTTGGATAACAACACACTGTCACCCATAAAGGTTTAAAATGACTCTCTGTCAATAAAACAATAAAAATAAAGGTAAAAGCAAAAGGTAGGCTGGCCAAGTGTTGTTTGATTAGTGAAAGGAAGGATACCAGGGCTGAGATCATCCTGCTATTTAGAGGAAAGGTATTTCTGGAGAGGACACAGGACAGGAGAATCCGGTGGCAGCAATGACAGAAAAGAGGTCAGTATAGGGGCAGCAGAGTGAGATGAGAGTGCTTAGCAGATGCTCTCAGAGGAGACCGAGTTGGGGTGGGCAGAGAGAGCGTGGGTGGTGAGGACTTGGGCTTTTACTGAGTCAAATGAAAAGCGACATTCAGGCTAAAAATCATTTCAACTCAAGCCAAGGGTATCACTGAAATTTGATGAAAAAATGTTCTGAATACAATTTTAATTTAGAACAATATGAACCTCCTGATGGTTGACTTGAATATAAGGTGGAAAGGAAGGTGTCACACTGCTATCTATGGAGAGGACACAGAAGCAGAGAATAGGCTGATGATTTCCAAGGGCTGGATCTGCTGTACCACATAGTACATATAGTTAACAATACGGCAGTGTGAACCTTAAATATGTTAAGAGGTCTGATCTCATTTGAAGTGTTCTTACCACCAACACACACACATGCACACACACACACAGGAACAAAAGGAAAAAATTAAATATTTATTTTTTGTTGCAGTTGGACACAATACCTTTATTTTATTTATTTATTTATATGTGATGCTGAGGATTGAACCCAGGGCCTCGCACTTGCTGGGTGAGTGCTCTACCACCGAGCCCCAACCCCAGCCCAAAAGGAAAATTTTTGAGATGATCAATCTGCTTATTACCTTGATTGTGGTGATGGTATATGCAGATGTCCAAATCCATCAAAATAAATACATTAAATATATGCAATGTTTTGTATATCAGTTATACTCAAAAAAGCTTAAAAATAAAAAGAATTGGATTATCACCAACCAAGTGTTACCTGCTGTCACCTGGGGCCCAACAGTATTTGAGCAGGGAGTTTCGAACTTTGGGTTCTGCGCTGTTGGAGGTTTCTGTTAGATATCCAAGAAGAGAGGTAAAGTACAAAGACAGGGAAGTTCTGTGATTTGAAAGCTTTCAGACAGGAATCCAAAGTCAAGGTGAGTTAACGCAGAGTGGGGATAGACACCAAGTTCTGGGGCGTGAGCTCAGTGGCATTCCTGTGTGGAGGGAACGATAGGAAGATGAGCTACCAGGAGACAGAGCTGGCAATCAGGAGAGAGCAAAGTTGGCCAAAATGGCACCATGTAACCCAAATGAAGAACAGGTGCAGAGCAGCTGCCAACGCTCTAAGCAAGGTAAAGACTTCGAATCTGCTTTGGGACTTTTGGAAGGGACTCATTAACTCATTTTTAAAAGATTGAAAATACTTCTTAAGAAAATTTAAAAAAAACAAGACACCCTTCATTAGCATAGTTACAAAAGTCCAAAATAAAAAATGAAATCTAATTCTGAATTAATAATAAGCATATACTATTAACACTTGGGACTTAGCCTAGGAATTAAAGAAAAAAGTTTTTTGAATGTTTAGTATTGTTCTAATATTCCCATATGACCTCATACAGCTATAGATATGGCATCTATGGAAGAATCTGAAAAGGCATTTATGCACTTTCTCACTGAGCAAAGGGAAAGGACAGGGAATGTCCTACTAAAACATGTAAGATCTGTGACAAAATGAGAGTCAACAGCATTCTGAAATTTTAGGGACTTTTTCTTTAATACTAGGAAGAACTAAAAGCTCCTCATTATTTTCATTATTCCTATTTAATATTTGAAATTTCTAATCAACCAAGTGACAGTAAAAACCGTTATGTTAGATGTCCTTGTTGTAAAAGATTACATAGATACATTATTACTTGCAGATTTTATCAGTATAATTTTAAAATAGAAAACTGAAAAAGGTACATAGAAATATTATTAGAATATTCATGTGAATTAAGTAATGTTCTGTATTCAGGGTCTCTAGAGGAAAAGAACCAGAAATTGGATTGTCCCACAATGGCTGCCTGCAGATTAGAGAGGTGGAGGAACCACTACCTGCTCAGTCCAAGAAGCTGGAGCCTCAGAACAAGAAGGGTTATTGATGGCCACTCCTGTCTGGTAACAAGGCATGGAAATTCTCTGGAGAGCCACTGGTCTGAGTTTCCTTTGATAGAGTGAGGGAGTTGGAGTCATGTGTTCTCAGGTGATCACAGCTGCAATAAAAGAATCTGCTGAAGAACAATTAAGTTTGCATCTACTGCTTGTTCTTCCAACCTTTGTCCCATCAAAACCTTCAACTTATTGGACTGTGCTGTCCACACTTAGGGTGGCTCTCCATTCACTTCAGTTTGCTGTCCCACATACCAGTTATTCCAAGAAACATCCTCTTAGAGACGCTCAGAAGGCATGTCTTAATCCAATCAAGTCAACAATTCACATTAACTATTATATGTGCTCATATAGAAGTTAAATTTTTCCAATCATTAACATGATATGAAGCAGAATCCAATAATAAATTACATTTGAAAATATACCTATATTAGTGAAAATCAAAAATATTAATGAATTTATAAAATAATAACCATTATTTATATATTCAAAATAAGAGCCATCAGCGCAAACTAAATTGAAAGATGGAAACAATCAATGGAGAGGTATAAGATATCCTTAAATATAAAAGTTATCATCAAAAACAATGATTATAGCTGGGTGTAGTAGCACATACCTGTATTCTCAGCAGCTCAGGAGACTGAGGCAGGAAGAATTCATGTTCAAAGCCAGCTTCAGCAACAGCTTGGCATTGAGCAACTCAGTGAGACCCTGACTCTAAATAAAAAACAAAATAGGGCTAAGGATGTGGCTCAGGGGTAGACTGCCCCTGAGTTCAAACCAAGTACCAAAAAAAAAAAAAAGATTATCAAGTTTTATAAACTGCAAACAAAAATATCTTCAGATTTGAGAGAGAGAGAGAGAGAGAGAGAGAGATGTTTTTACTATGCCTGTGGAAAAATAATAACAATTTTTTGAATGACTAATAGAGAATGATAATCAATCAAGACACTTTTCAATAAAAGTAATTACAAAGAAATTCTACTTTCCAAACGTGCGCATATATTATCATTTGAATGATTTAATTCAAAAACTCAGTCTCGCTTGCCAAGTAGAAATCTCAATGTTCTTCCATCTAGAGTTCACCAGTCCCCAAATCCTGCCATTTCAGATGTCTCATTGCTGCTTAAATCTATCTGCTTCTCTTCTTCACTATTCTTAATGATTAGGTGAACGTATTTTCAACCTGCATGAATTATAACTACTACCTTTAAAGCTCTTCCCTGCCCCCAGATCCTCCAAATCCTCCAATAAACCCTGTCTCATCCCTCACTATAACTGCTCTCCATAGGATATTGAGAGTCAACACTAAAAATGCAAATTGTCAAATACCTGCTTTAAAAAAAACGTACCTCTGCTGCTTTCCATTTCCTTCAGAATAATCCTCTTGCTTTCTATTTATATTAACCTAGGTTATCTTTCACATCTCATGTTTTCCTACTTCCCACCTACATCTCCCACATTAAAAAGCCATAATAGGAATGTGTGCCCCATGTTCCTGGCTATTCTGCTGTCTTCAATTACCCTCCAGTAACACACTGACATCCACAGCCAGTGCAATGCTGGTTGCTTAAACTCACTGCTATTACTGGTTCCTATAGATCCATATTTTAGAAATGCATTTCCTTCCTTATTGCACTGTAAGCATTTTGAAGGCTGAAATTATCTCATTGGCCACTTGTTCCATTTGTACAGTGTCTCAGTTAACAAATATTTATTGAAAAATTGAGTAGTATTAAGATAGTTTATAAATCCTTAGTAGTACGGCTTAAATCCAGAAATAGAGAAAATCATGACTCAGTAACTTTTCGTTTATGGTAAAAGAACCATTCCAAATCAGACAGAAATGACAAATCATTATGTATATGTCACTTGGCCAATAGAAAAGCTATTGCAATGTAATGATGATAAAATCCCATTTCTAATCAGAAGCCCAGAGTAAATTAATGGTTTATTGTCAGATAAAAGAATATATAACTATTTGTTGTTACACAAGGTCTATACCTTGTTTGAGATTAGCAACAATAGAAGAATTCAAAAAGAAAAAGGAAAGTTCATATATTAAATTAGGCAAAATATAAAACATTCAATATAGCATGGATATATAAAAATTAAACTATTCATGATAAATTTTAAGAATATATTTGATTTATATAGATAATTCAAATCAGTTTTGTAGCAATTTGCAGTATACTTTCAGATATTTGTTGATATTTGAAAATTATCATGATATGAATAGGCAAAATGCAAAAGAGAATTTTTAGAATTATTCTAAAGTTGGTAAGTAATATATTTTATTCATTTGAAAAAGAAAAAAATATGAAATATCACTCTATTCTATTGGTATCTTGGATATGTCAGATAGTTCATGAGGAAGGGCCAGGATTGGGATGCAAAGTTTAGAATTTTCAGCATCTAAAGAGATCACAAGTTCAAAGGAAGTTACCAAGAGAGGTGGAATCCAGAGGCTGAATTCTATGTCCAATGAGGTCAGAGCAAGGAGAGACAGAGGTAGGGTGGCCTGTCAAGCAGGAGACAAAGAAGTGAAAAGAGCATCCTAGAGGACAAATACAATACCTGCCACATAGCTGGACTTCCCACACCCAAGACAGAAGGGGGACTTCAGACCAAGACTAAGACTGACCTTGGACCTGAGGAGAAGGATGTTTCAGTGAGTCACCTGGGAAATGGAATCAACCCCCTTGTTTGATATGAAATAAACAACAGTGTCTTATATGAACATGATTTAAATAATCTTGAATAAATTAATAACAAAAACATCCAGCTTTGTCTTAAAAATTATTACAGCATGAACACATGGAATTTGGCAAAGAAATGTTAAAAAAAAGTTTAAAGACTGAGAAATACAGTAACATTTTCCATGACATTAGAAAGTTAAGTAAGAACAGCTTTATCATCCTTTGAAGGAATCCCAGGAGACAGACATTCATGGAGTTCCTCACATTATCTGGTAAAACAGGCCGTTTCCTCACCTAGTGAGTGATATATGTGGATTATGTCGGGGGAGTGGTGGCTTTTAACTTATACTTTTGCTCTTGAATTGTCAGAGAACTAAAGTAACTCTTTATTTAAAAGTGCAGGCTCTGTCATTTTTATGTTGGTGGACACATGTTCTCCCCACTCAAACTCTCTGGTGACAGTGGACATTATCAGAGGTGCATGGTTACATCACAAGCAGGAATGCAGTATGTTGTGGACACAGCCATTCTAGTTGGTTAGTGCAGATGTGCTCCCTGCAAGGTGTACCCTAGATTGCAGACAGCCTCTTCGTCAGCTCCTGGAACTGGAGATGTGTATATAGCGTCCCTTGAATATCCAAGTTGGTCATATGCAAAAAGGAAGAAGAACAGGATCGCAGGTGAAAGAGCAGGGAGTGCAGCAGAAGAAGAGGTAGACTAAGGGTCAGGGGAAGCACAGGCCAAAGAGGGAGTGAAACAACCAACCAGGTTTCCAGTGCTGGCTCAGTCCTTCCTTAAGTCAAATTCGAATCCACCTCCTGGACTTGAAGCTTTGTGATAACACATCTGTACCCTTATGAGAGACCCTTGTGCTACTGAAATTCACACAAGCTGGGTGATTACTTTATGCTCAAATTATTACAGCTAATATGTTAAGTTTCATCTTTATTTTCTGGAGTCATGAGAACATAATCTTGGAAAAGGAGAAAGGTATACTTAGAGGCTTCATCTTCCAGTGAGGAAAAAGCTAGTTTTAAAGACTCAAAAACTTTTTATTCAAATATTCTTCCTAATGATTTGGATCCCAAACAAGCAGTCTGCAGCCAGTATCAACATTTCCAAGTGTAGAGATAGGAGCAAATATCCAATCACAAATAAACATGTGTGAATGTGTTTATTTCAAATCACAGATTCCTCCTAAGGATATTCTATCTCTAATGCACAGAAAAAATATAATGGTGTAGAAGAGCTTTGAATAGTGTATTTTAACCTCTTGCTTATAGTTCTATATAGTACTATTTTCTGATGTAATTTTTTGAGTTCTGATTGGTCTAACAAAATTATTCATAAATCAAAAACAATTCCACATTACTCAGAAGCTTCTTCACACAGTAAAAACAATTTTAAAGAACTCTTAAGCTATGGAATAGTCAGGACCCAGTCTCCTGTACCTCTGGCTCACAGAGGTTAACTTGACCACCCCTGATCATATAGGTAACTTCAAATAGTCTCACTGAAGTCCGGAAAATCAGAATACTTTCAACCAACAAAATCATTAAAGTCCTGAAATCATTGTGATACAATTTCACCCAATGAAATTAGAACCACTAAATAACTGCATGATGAATCAAGGAGTTTTTGTTAGCACAGGGTGTCTTTCTCGTATTTTTAATTATTGTTTTCTAATTGATGAATCGTGACGATCTGTATTAATTCTCATGCATAGTTGATTCATGTAGTACAATCTCAAGCTATTATGGTATTAAATTGCTTTAGTTTTGTTGTTGTTGTTGTTGTTGTTTTCATAAAAAATAAATGGAACACACATTGGAGCCATTTGAGAAAGCAATAATGACACAGAACTCCGGTATCTCCTTTGAGAACTTCATTGTTCCTGTTGGCTTCTAGTCTTTTCTGATGTTTGCATTTTCATACAGCTGATATTAACTTCCAGGTGAGATTATTCTTACAGTTATTTTCTATGAGAACATAAAACTCTGTAGTAGAACTTAGATTACCATTTGTAATGAAACGGTAAAAAATAATTATTAGTGCAGAAATGGATACTTAAAGAGCAAATAAGACTTTACACTAATTTTATGTTTAAGTTCATTTTTATTGTGTACTATTATATGTCCGTCTAAGAGAATCAGTAAACAATTTCTCACAGGCCAAACTGGATGCCTGCTTTTGTAAATAAAGTGTTATTGGGATACTGTCATGTTCATTGCTTTCATGTTATCTATGGATGATTTTGCAATAAAATAGCAGAGTTTAGTAGCTGCAGTGATGATGGGGTGGCCCATAGAGGTGGAAGTGTGTATTATTTATCCCAAGAAATGAAAAGCTGTCAATCTCTGCTTTACAGGGTTTCAAAGAAATATAATGTTTGATTACTGTATCTGAAAGTTACACTCTACTTGAACGGGAAAATATGCATATCAAATAAATAACCAAGAACTTGCTAGAGCTTATCCAATAAGCTTCCAAGCCACAGTCTTTTCACTTGGATAACCCAACTCACATTCCACTTTAAGTATGTTTAGTGATTTAGGGAAACTGATTATTTTGGATAAACCAAGGTGAATGAAGAAAGTAACATTTCAATATTTGAACTGAAAACAAAGGACATATTTTATTATATTTATTTAGATAGCTTTGAAATTGACATTTAATAAAATATTGATTTATACACTGGTTTTTGATTTAAAGACTAAAGTTTATGTTGTATCTGGGATTCCTTTAATGAATTTTTTAAAAAGGGCATTCATTCATCTCTAGTTGAGAGTATATGCATGAGTATAAAATATAAATAGTTCTATGCCCAAATATGTTTTTATGGCTTGATAAATGGCATCCAGGAAAGAAAATAAAGCCCTGGGAAAAAATTAACAGAAGGTGATGGATTTTCCTAAGGCAGGGGTTTTGAAGACTGATGTGTTTAATTGAGTGACTGGGTGAACCTCTTGAAACATGTAGAGAATTAATACTCTTGATGAAGAAGTACATTTAAAAAGCACATTAATGTGGTAGTGGAAAAACATAAGATACGGAACTGAAATATTAGTCAAGCCATCTATATTTCCCTTTTCTACATCAGCAATTGTATGTGTGCAATCGTTGTGAACAGTCTTTGCCAGAAAAAAAAATTTTTTTTTCATATACTGGATTCTTCCTGTGTTGATGTGACAGTCTATAGGTCATAAATGGGCAAAACAATACTGAAGATTGATTCTCTTAAATGTATTACATATTAAATAAGAGTGTCTAAAATATATGGGCAGTCTTACAAATCACCTATTCTAAACATCATATTGTATTTGAGAGAATTCAGATTCAGCAAAAATAATTGAGTAAATTATTTACAGACATATTTTTCCAAGCTAAAATAAAACTTATTTTTCCCCCTAAATCATATTGTATGTTGCCTAAAGTCTGTAAACTGGTGACGATCACAGTATAAACAAGGTAAATAACTGAAGCAGGATATTAGAAGCAGTTATTAGATTAGGTCTGGAAGGTATTTTTGCTAGACAAACTCACATAGGAAGTCACTGGCTTTATCAAGGGAAGAATACTCCCAGCGCTAATTCTGGTTATACCATGTAAATTCTCTGTTTAACAGGGAGAGAATAACTCCAAAGTTTTTGACTTAATTAATCTTTTTCTGAGGCCCTTCACTATAGAACTAAAAATTTAAATAATGAGCAGACACATAGTATTAAGTATCTTTCCACACTCAGAGGATGATTAATCATAATGGCTAAAGCCACAAGCACTATGTTGAATACTAATCTGGTGACAGAGTTTGGAAATCAGTCAGTATGGAGCACACATCTAGGTGCTTTCTGTCCTTTGGACAGAGTAATAGGAGGAAGGAAAGATAAACCTGTTAACAATTGATGCTCTTTCTACCTCACACAAACTCCTTAGAGTTTGTAAGTTAAGTAAGTAAGTTTCTTGTAACTTTTGTACCTTAAGCTTAGGCTGGATGTTGATCTCATTGACTTGATGCCCTGCTCTGAATTTTGAGATGTCTGATGCAGATCATATTCAAACTAAGTGAAGAAAGGAAGCAACAAATAGCAAAATACCTGAGGGGCTATTTTCACTTGTGTTTGTGTCCTGCATTCCTGCAGCCAGTGGACTTCTAGAAGAACCAAATCGAGTCTTGGAGTTACAAGCTGCTTTGAGGCAGTTTTGATTTACAGAACAAACACTCCCTAGATTGCTTGGTATCACATGGATTCACAGGGCTGCTGTAAATAAACTCAAAGGGCAAGCGGATAAAAGGTTGAAAGATAACGTTATTAAACATTTTACCAATAGATCACCAAGGAAGGGAAACAGGCTTCCAGAGGAAAAAGTTGGAAAAACAAGAAGATCCTTCAAACCCGTTCCTATTATTCCAATGGATTAACCATGCCCCATTGATAATGGGAGGGAAAAAAAGTTCTCTGGAGTCTTATTTATAAATCCTTCTTTTTTTTTAGGTTTGGCATTTAGAAACAGGGAAGCATATCAAGGCTGGCATCAACCTCCCTGAACACTAATAAACTTCTTCCTTCCATGTGGATCAATGTGGTCATAACACCATTCTCTAAGTCTCTCAGGTGGCTTCCTTCACCTGGAAAAAGTGCCATCCGATTGCTGTGTGAAAAGATCATTTTTTCCATTAACTGGCTGCTATTGTCCACTTCCCACTCCTTATAGGACACCTGAACATGGACACCTTTCTTATCTTGCAAAGTTCATAGTGATTGTTACCAATAAATGGGTTCTTAAAAATTTATGAGCCTAAGGGAATGTTTTTGAAGTAAAGATACCTGCCCAATATTATCAAATGGACATCCTTTTGCGTGTTTACCAAAGTTCAGATCAGGTCTTGAATGTGAAGAAACTTCCCTAATCAGTGAAAATGTTAATTCAAAATGATCAGAGAAAATAGTACCAGGAATCCACCATGGGCGGGCAACGGTTCCTGTTTCAGATGAAACCAGATAAACTCATAGTTCTCAAGGCATCCCCAAAATGGGGAGAGAAGTCCTACTCAAAGGTGAGAAATAATTGGCTCTTTACTGACACAATGCTGATCCTGTTAGGAGACAGCTCTGAATGGAGAAGTGTGAGGTTAAGAGAATAATTCTATAAAATGGACACACTGTGTTGGCCCCCACACTCTTTATTTTCCATGAATCAATCCACCAGCAGCCCTGCCTGGCCTACATAGGCAGGATATTTCACATTTCTCACAAACTGTCTATTATCTGCAGGAGGAGAAAGACAGTCCCAAAATAATATTGATAAGAAGAACTCAAATTACCCTCAAGGGAAAGACTTTTGTGAGCCTTTTCATAGAACAGATCCTAAAACTCTGGGAGACAAGGAGTATTCCTCCTAACCATATAATCTATAAGAATTTGTGGCTAAAAATCCAATTAGACCTGGTCAGCATGGGCCAAGGTGACCAAGAGTTGTCATGACAGTGGGGACTTCAAAACCTCATGTCATCCTGCTATCAGTCAAAAGTCAAGATGTGGATCTGTGTGGGACTCTCTGGAAACTTCTCTGGGATCCCCAATAAAACTGGAGTGCAACAGAGGTCCAATGGTTCCCTCTTCTCTGGGAGGAACTGAAACCAGGATTAAAGACACGAAGATAGATCCAGAGAACAGAGGCCAATTTGGGTTCCGGAAGCTGGAGAATCCCCTGAGGGATCAAGGAGCCCGTCCTCCATCCTTATCAAGATAACGTGGCCCAGCCCCAATCTGTTGCTAAGACAACCTGTCCCTAGGGATTGTCTCTCCCTACAGGGAGTCATAAAAGTTGTTAACCCACCATGGCCCCCTTCCTTCCAGGGTCACTTCACCTTGGCCTCTCCTGCCCATCTGCTTCTCACCTTTTGGTCATCCCACCAGAGCATCTCCTGGGCCTAGTCACATAAGCCCTCACTCTGTGGGATACCAGGATACCAGGTATGGCCCCTTCTCCCTCCGGGAAGAAGTCTATGTGACCCCCTTTTGAGTAAACCCTTCTTTATATGCATGCCTGGACACTCTTCTCTAATGTAAGACTTCCACATGTGGGGGAGCAGGACCCGTCACCAATAGCCAGCGGTATCAGAACGACTCTCTTAAGAGTATCCCCTTTCTCTTTGCCTTTCAATAAACTCATTCCTATTACTCTGAACGACATGTCTGAAATCTTTCTGACTTGATCACAAGAATTGAGGTTTGAACTGGCGTCCTTGTGCTGCCTCAGTTTCTCTGAAGTCCCCGGCTCTCTTACAGTCCCACTGATAAATGCTAAAAGCATAACTGAAAGTATAAAAAAATTCCCGAGCAACTCAACTGCACCCCAGAACAATTCTCAGGAATATTTAAGGGAATTTTAAATGTCTAGTCCTTAACATATTAAGTCTCACTTCAATCAAACATTGTCATATTGATAAAGCAGCAGAAAACCATGACTTACAAAGAGGAAAATATTCAATCAACCAAAACTAACCCAGAAATGACACCTTTTAAAAGTGCCACACAAGGACATTAAGAAAGCTATTATCCTTATGTTTACATGCTCTAAGAAAAAAGTATGGATATGGAAAATATTTTTAAAAAGTCCCCAAATGAACTTTCGGAGACAAAAACTATAATGTCTAAGATAAAGAATATACTGAATAAGATTAATAGCAGATGAACTATGGCAGAAGAGTGTAGTGAATTTAAGGACACAATCACGTGTACTATGTAAGATGAAAAGGGAAGAAAGCATACATGAATAGAACATCATTCAGTTGAGACCAGTCTAGAAAGCTAAATGCACCTATTAATGGATTTTCCAAGGACAGAATGGGAGACAGAAAAATTGAAGAAACTATGGCCTAATTTTTTAAAAATTTGACGAAAATTACAAATTAACTAATTCAAAAATGTCAACAAACACAAAAGCTCCATAATTGTGAGGAATACTGCACCAAGGTTAATCATAATCCAACTGCTGAAAACCAAGGATGAAGAGAAAGTCTTAGAAAGAACCAGAGGGAAAAGGAGCAAGGTAAGGTTGACAGCAGCTTTTTGTCAGAGAGAAGGTCAGTGAGGAGACTGTGATCTCTTTAAATTCTAGACTCCCTGAATTCAATACTTCAGAATTCCATGCACAGTGACAAATCTTTCAAAAAGCAAAGGCAAAATGGACTTTTCAGACAAATTCTCAGAGAATTTATCACCAGCAGATCTGCACTGTAAGAAATGTTGATGCAAGCCCCACAGGAAATAGAATATGATACCTGTTGGAAGTTGAATCTACCAAAGGAAAGACACCTGCACAGGTGAGTGCTTGTGTGTGTTCTGGGGGACAGGGGGCGGGGGGGGGGATTCTTTTTATTATTTAAATATCTAATTTTCTAAATAATCAGAATAGCATTGTAAAGTAAAATCTATAGCACATAAGAAAGAAATAAGTTATATCATGAAACAGCACAAATCCATCTAGAGGAGAGATGGAAATAATACTATTTTGAGTTTCTTCTAGTATGCATGAAATTGTATAATGACACTTTAAGATACTGTGATGACTTAAATATGCATACTCCAGATTCTAAAGCAACCAATAAAATAATAAAACAAACCAGCAAATAACGTTAGATCATGGACAACTAAAGAATACTCAATTTCTTAACAAGTGAAGATAAATAAAAATAAAACCACAAAAATTAAAAAAAAAACAACAAAGACTACTCATATTAGACAAGTAGCAAAATACATTTTAAAACTATGTCATGGGTTGTATTAAACACATATGATCTAAGCATCTCAAAGTTTGTCAATTATTTAAAAAAGCCAAGCTTAATCACATGTTGCCTACAAGAAATGTGCCTTAAATACAAAGACAAAAATATGCATATAGCACAAAAACAGGAAGTTTAGGGAAGTGTGCCTTCCACCCAGAGACAGAAGCCACACTGTGAGGGAATTTTGGCACAAAGAGGAATTCAGCAGTGACAGAGAGAAAGGGAGGATCCTGAGGGTTTCCCAGGGCTGTAGGAGAGACTCCAAGGAAGAGCTTGAGTGACACTGCGACCCAGGCCTGTTGAGGTAAGCACAAGGCTACTTTCCTGTCGCCAGTCCTGCTCAATACCCCTTATGCTTCCAGTACAGGAAGAAGTCCAGATCAAAATAAGATTTTGCAATTTTTTTTTTAAATACAAGTCTGAGTTTTACGTACAGATATTTAACTGCGTTGTGGTAACTACTTTTAGTTTGAACAATATTTTTCATAATACTCATTGACCTTTAGATAAATCCTTGTGTGCTTTCCCAGAGCTCAGCTCAATAAGCACTTCCGTCCTGCCTCTGCTTGGGGGAATGCTGTATATTATGTAAACACTTCTACAAAAAACGAATCAGTGCCCAGAGCTTAACTAGTTCTCCCTGGCATCTTGAAATCTCAATAATGCAAATAGACCTGATTTCCAGAAGCTCATGGTTCCCATGATTCCCATGAGGTTGTCCTGAGTCTTTCTTCTGGAAGAATGCTGGTGGCCAGTGCTGTTTCAGCATGGTAAACCTTCCATACTGTTTAGCAGGACACAGTTCTCAAGAGACAAGATGTTGACAAAGCCGTAACTGAAAAGTTTAGCACAAAAAGCAGATCCTGCCAACTGGTTAGTGGGATGAGACATTCAGCAGGGTCACAAAATGGGCTAAGCAGCTGGGGTGAAAGAGTTGGAATTGCCTTTTAAATAAGGCAGAGCTGATGTGCATACAAACACCAATATTGTGATAGGTAAATAAACAAATCAGGAGAAGCTCATTTCTTGTGACTTACACAAGATAATCTCGAATCTTACCGGTTGTTTTATGAAGACGCAAAATCAGTTAACTGCAATTCTCCTGAAAGTCACTCGCAGATGTGCTTCCTCAGGCTGTTTTACTGTTCTCCACTGAATCTCTAAGTCCTGCGTGCAGTGCAGTAGCTGTGAGCTTCCTGTGGCTGCACCTGGCTTTGTCACCAGTGTCTAGGGAAGAGAGGTCACCCCAGCACACTGCCTCTTGAATAGTGGTGTTCAGCACATACTTGAAGGAGACTTGATAATAATAAGCACTTATTTATTAAACACAGTGTTCTGGGCAATGGCTCTCATCTCCTGTGCCTGTGTTCTGACCACGCCTGTTTGAGGTTCTTGAAAACATTGGCTGTCAAGGCCATTTGTAGATCTGGTATTCAGTCCATGTAGAAACTCAAGTAAGAAGACACTGGTCCAGTCCAATATTTTAAAAATACTTTTAAAATCCTATTTTTCATTTCATAATTACAATGAAAGTAGCCATCAGCCATCTCCAAATAAGAAATATTCTATTCCCTTTCCAAGGTACTCACCAGGATGTTTTACTTTTTCTCAGAAAGCTTTTCTTGTGAAGATTAGACATTCACAAATAAGAGTCCTCAATCCCACAACATAATAACGGTGAGTGATGTATTCAAGGTTAAGACAAGCCCACAGTCTTTCTGTGACTTGGTCAAAATTTCTTGCAGTAAGTGTGTATCAAACTACATCACTTATATTAGATTTTTAAAATATGACATTTCAAAAGGCATTTAACATGGAACAGTACTGTAGAAATATTAAACCTGTTAATGATGAGAGTTTTGAAAATTGTTTTTCTATCATCTGGGGAAAGTCCACATTCGCACTGATGAACCCCTTCAATTCCATTCATGGTGTATTTCTGTCCTCCTGTGTCTCTGCTTGATCTCACAGCCTCTGTTGCTCACTGGGTCCTGGTCTAGAAGCACTTATGAGCTCCTGTCTGTTTCAGGCACTACCAGCTTATTTTGCTTCTTCTTCCCGTAGATACCATTATACCAACTCAGGCCGTTTAAATCATATGCTTGGGTGACATTATTGATTAAAATCTGGAGTTACTAAACAGTTTGTAGACTTTTTGCTTCACCTAACTTTTTATTATTTTCAAACACCTAAATTTCTATTTGTTTTGATAATACACCTTAAAAATCTTTCTCTTATGATTTTTTTTTTGTATTGCTAGGTTTCTAAATTGTTTCTAAATTCTGTCCTAATATTGTTCTGGACATCTTCTGTCATTATTACCTTTATGGCTACCTGGATTTCTGTTACAGTCTGGAATGTCCCCTAGAGACTCATGTGTGGAAGGCTTGGTCCCCAGCTGGTAACTGGGTGGTAGAAACTCCAGGAAGTGCAGCCTAAATGAAGGAAGTAGGTCACTGGGGTGTGGGTTTCAAGGGCATATCTTATCCACATTCTCTAAATTTCTCTCACTTTGATAACCAGCTGCCATGATGTGGACAGCCTTTTGCCACCACATCCTTTTGCCATGATGCTCTACCTCATCACAGGCCTGGAAGCAATGGAGCCAGCAAACCATAGACTGAAACCTCTGAAACTGTGTAAATCTTTTCTCCTCTATGTTGATTTTCTAGAGCATTTTTGTCACATCAATGGAATGCTGACTAACACATCTAATAGATGTAGTTGAGCAATTTTTTGTTTGACATTGCATTATTAATCTAGAGAGCAGACATGTTTATAAGAGGAAAACTAAACCATCACATTTAGTTTACAGTTGTATTTTTTTATTTTAAAATTTGCAGAAGGTTAACATGATTTTAATAGCCTAGTGAAATACTGTAGCCTTGTGAAGCTAATGTGAATTGTATCCAGGAGGCTATCCTTTGCTCTGTACTTTTATATGTTCATTATTTGAAGTACTTCTCTCTCAGAGGTCCCCAAATAAGTTTGCTATTTCTCTCATTCCTGCTGGGTACACATCGGCTGGGTTTCACAGATAGTCCAGTGAAACTGACTGATGAAGGGGGACAGAAAGGAGGCAGAGGGGAGAAGGAGTGATTTCCACATCCAAGGCATTCAGAACTTCTAACAAAATTGTGTAACAGTGCATATGACTCGCGTTATCCATGCAACCTGGAAACACCCTGTCTAGGGTCATGGTGAGTCTTGCCAGGTATTTCAAATTGTACTTGCAAATAGGATTCCTCATTTTTGCAGTGTGATATTGGTGTGTGATGTATAAACAAGCATCTCTTTTATCGCCTAACTTCAGAGAAGACAAATTGAAGTCAGGTAACATATTCTGAGCAATTATACAGAGATGACTCCCAGTGGTACCTCTACTCATCCTCCAGACACCACACTGCTTAGATGAAGCAGTTGCTATCTGATGAATGATTTTAACAAAGCCACAAAGAAACAGCACTGTGATGGCAAAACCAAGAAAACCATGATCTAATGCAGACCCATAAATATAGAATGTTTTCTAATTCTAAAATCATAACAGGTTATAATAGTGAGAGTTGAAAAGAAAATGCACATATAGATATTATAAATGTCAATGCAAAGGAGAAGTGTCCTAAATATGCTCACCTGATCATTTTTTCTCTCATGAAGGAATAACTTTAATCACTTAGCTTGCAACAGCTGGGAGACAAGGAAAGCAATCTTAAATGGCTCAGGGAATTTTCTCTATTATGTCAAGTACGGTGCTCCACTTAGTGAAGGGGCTTAATATATATTGATAGCCTAAAATGTTAAAATTAGATCAAGTCAAATAATCATAGGCATCAATTTAAGATGCAGACTGTACCAATGATTACTGCAGAAAGAAAAATTATAGATATCAATCATAATGTTGCACAGCCATTTGCCTATCTTAAAACTGCCACCTTTGAATATTAAAAATAATATGATTTTATACATTTTTCTTAATAATGATGCCCAATGAAAAATATAAAATTAATTAAATGTAAGTATATCGATTAGTTAAAATATTTAAATTGTCTCATTCTAAAGCCACACATTTCTAAGGAAATTAATTCACACACACAAGGCTTACATGTAAATTCTCCTGTATCCAGCACTAACCAAAACACCTTTGTATGAACAATAAACAAGTTACATCATATCAGTGTGGCACAAATATGTTTTTCATACACCAATGAACACTCAGGTTAAAGAGTAGAATTTTCCTTTTTACTAAAGAGCACACTGAGGAAAGAAAATTATTTTCTTGAGTAAATATCTATGAGACTTTTGACAAACCAATCTGTTTGCCTATTCAAAGGAACTCCCTTATTATTTTCATTCTTAAAATTCTTTGACAAAAAATTTGAGTAATTAGCTCAGTCTCAAAATTGTTAATTAATGCCAATTCTCATTCTCAGTGTTTATTAATAGGCTATTTATTCCACACCTGAGTAAATATTCTTCCTTCAGAAAGTCACAGAATAGATTACCCTGTGCCATTTATCAAGGAGAGCCATTCCTATGTGGTGAGTTCTGTCTCCACTAGGAGTAATTGAGGTTTGAGCTTCCAGAAGGTTAACTAACCTAGGAGTGACCCAACAGTTTCATCTTAGAGGGTCATTGTTCTTAAATGTCACAGTCATTAGAAGCCATTATAGCTTAACTATGCAGCTTGAACTTGTTTTTAAATCATGAAGAATTAGAAAGCAAAATAAAAAGCCTTACTTTTATCAGGGGTTGGATTACCTTAGGGGTCAATATCTTCAAGGCAAGGTGTCAGCGCCTGGGCACAATTTTGTAATCAGTTCTGAAAAAGCACTAAATTGCTTAGAAGAAAAAAAAAACATATATTCCCTTAAAAAAGAATTCCGAAAGTGCAATAGGAAAAAAAAAGAAAGAAGAAAAAAATCTTATTTCTTATGGAGTTTGTTGTTTTTCCTATTAAAGATAATATTTGCAGGTTCCAGATCACAGAAATAAAATCCTAAGGAATTAAAATAGTTCCCAATATCTGAATATATTTTTAAAAGACAATACATTTAAAGTTTTGGTCTCTTCTTCTCCTTCTCCATCTGGAGCATCCTGGCCAAAGGGCAGCAGCACATGAGAATTCTTTTCTTAGCTCAGATTATCTAATGAGAAGAATTCTGATGGAAGCAAGTACCTTACTACTGACTTTGATTTATGGATGCACCACTGAGCTTCCCTCGACTTTATTCCTTAGGACCTTTTTTTTTTTAAAACCAAATAATGAACAAACAAATTTAAATTTGGAATAACACAAAGAAGATGCTCAGTAAGCACTATTTCTTCTTCCCCTAAGGAATGAAATGGCAAAATGTATTTATGCAAGGGGTATGTGTGCTGTGGCACCTTCACAACATGCCATCCTGTGTTGTTACTTGCCCAGGGATGAACCATAGAAGAAAAATCGCTCTAAACCAGTTAACCAGGCAAGGATAATATATTCCAGACCATTCCAAGCCATGGGGGAGGATTGGACTGCGTCTGTGTGATGCCAAAGGTGGGAGATTTTCAAGGGCTGGGATAGCTTGTGGGCACATGCTAAAGGAGGTTAGGGAGGAAGCTAGTTAAGGCAATTAGTTTGTGTGGGTTTGCTAATTGGCGCTGATGGAAGTTTCCTTCCTCTCCTCCCTCAAGATGGGTGAATAAGGGGCTCTTTCTTGATAATTACATTTCATAAGGAGGCTTCAGGTCCTTGAGAAAGACATTGCTGTATTATAGAATACTTACAAATCAAAGGGGCAAAAAAAGAATTTATAATTGCAAGTTTTCTAAAATAAAGGCTTTGAGGAAAGGAAGAATAGAGTCCAATACTCATGAAGAAACCTGTGTAAAGTTACTCAACCTGAGGGCAATGTCAGAGGCATCCTGGCCTTTTGGTACCCATATATTTATATTTTGCTATGCCTTGATTTCCACTTAATCTTTATGCATGTGAAAATGATATTGACCTGGCCTATGCCAATTAGAATCAGATATGTGCATATTCCCCAAAGGCTTGAAATATGTAAATAACTGAACATTGTGAAGATGAAATTATTAGAATCCATATTTTTTTAAAAAATTGAATTTTTATTTTCTGATTTAGATATGTATGATAACAGGGTGTATTTTGACATATTATATTTACATGGAGTACAACCCCTATCAGTTTGGATCCCATCCTTGTGGTTGTACATGATGTGGCGTTACACTGGTTGTGTATTCCTATATGAACAAAGGAAGTTCATTCTACTGTCTTTCCTATTTTCATCACCCTTCTCTTTCCTTCATTCCCCTTGGGAATGAACTTCTATTTTTCTTCTCCCTACCTTTCCTTGCTGTGGGTTGGCATCCACATATCAGAGAGAACATCTGGCTTTTGGTTTTTTGGGACTGCCATATTTCACTTAGCATGATATCTTCCAGTTCCACCCATTTCTGGAAGATGGCATAATTTCATTATTCTTTATGGCTCAGTGATATTCCATTGTGCATCTATACCACATTTTCTTTATCCACCATCTGTTGAAGGGCACCTAGATTGATTCCATAGCTTGACTATTGTGAATTGAGGTGCTAACATCCACCTTTTTTTGTGAAATAATTACAAATACCTGCTCCAGTACCAAATTACAACCACAGGTAATTTATATTCCAGGTTGAACAAATATCAGGGGAAAGAAAGCTATGGGCTAGTGGCTTATATCCAAAACAAGCTTTTTTTTGTTGTTGTGTTTTTGTTTTCCACATTTACTGATTGAATAATTGCTTTTCTAGCGCAGTCTGGCTGGGCACAATTCAGGAGCCACTTGTCAAAAGAAACGAACTTTATTTTTAGAACCACACACGCCAAACAAAACAGCTCCTCAGGAAAAACCCTCAGAGCCCAACTGCCACCACCAGCTTCCCACAAGCCTCTCCACCTCCCCCACCTCTCCTGCTCTTGAGGCTGATTGGCTGGGTCGTGTGGGCGGAGCCAAAAAAGTCCCCCAATGAGCAGCTCCATGGTCTGAAAGGGCAGGGAAACAGCCCAATGAGCATCACTGCAGAGGAGCCAATCAGCTGGAAGTTGCTGGGGCCGCTGTGAGCCCATCATCAGCTGGCAGTCTGAAAGTTTGCTGGGGCCCCTTCGGCTGTGGCTCTCAACACAAATACCTGCTCCAGTACCAAATTACAACCACAGCTAATTTATATTCCAGTTTGAACAAATATCAGGGGAAAGAAAGCTATGGGCTAGTGGCTTATATCCAAAACAAGCTTTTTGTTTTGTTGTGTTTTTGTTTTCCACATTTACTGATTGAATAATTGCTTTTCTAGTGCTTGAAAATGACATTTGAATCTAAACATCAAGCTCTAAAACACCCATGGAGAAGCCCAGCGTAGTGGCGCACGCCTGTAATCTCAGTGGCTCAGGAGGCTAAGGCAGGAGAATCTGGATTTCAAATCCAGCCTCAGCAAAATTGAGGTGCTAAGCAACTCAGTGAGACCCTTTCTCTAAATAAAAATAGATCTGGGGATGTGGCTCAGTGGTTGAGTGCCCCTTAGTTCAATTCCTGGTACCCTCACCTCCAAAAAAAAAAAAAATGGAGAAGTTGTAAAAGAATAGCTCAAACACCAAAAGTTTTAATAATCCCTGAATTAATTATTTGATTTTTTTTTAAATAACAAACTCCAGGTTTAAGAAGATTTCTGTGCCTAGTGATACGATGAAGAGGTGCTGAGCTGGGAAACCCTTCCTGCCCTCCATCAGACCTTCATCTCTCTTCTCTCCACAACTGAGTATGTTCCTTTTCTGATCTCTTTAGAGAGGAATTTGCATTTATTCACCTTAAAGAAAAGGTGAGACTTTAAGGTAATGGATACTCTTATTTTCCTGAACTGATCAGTATCTAACATATCCATGAATTGAAACATCACGTTGTAACTCATTAATATAGGCAAGTATTATGTCAATTAAACATTTTCTAAAAATCATTTCATTTGTTCTCCATAGAGTCAGACTCAGTTTTCTAAAATGCTGGAGTGCCCCTTGCCCTCATTCTCTGATACATCAGCCCATCATGCCTCCAAATCCGTCCTGCAGTTTATGTCCCTAGGTCTGCACTGCATCCAAGGATTGCCTGTCTTCCAAACCCCCTTGTCCCCACTACTACAGCCTTACTTCTCGGTTGTCATCAAAACCTAAAGACAAGGGACTTTAGATTCTTCTAGACTTAGGAAGAAGACTCTTGTTTGAAACAGAAATTTCACAATCCAAACTCAGAGAGTGAAATTCAGCAAGTGCACGTGGGACCCAGGAGTCTGAATATTCCACACACCACAGACAGTCTGCGGAAGCTGCACAACCTTCCCTAAGATTTGGATTAAAAGTTGAATTCTGTGGGGCGTGGGTGACAGAACAGGGATGAATCTGGTTGCTAGTTTGATTTTTGTAGCTGTAGATATTTTACATAATTAAAAGTAACTCAGAAGGAAAGCAATCCTTACAGAAGGTCAGTTTCTGAGACCACTCGCCTGACACACTGCCTCCTTCTCACCCATGCTGTCTCTCAACTGAGCAGATGCTCTGCTTACTGTGCTCATCACATGGGACTGTGATTATTTTAAGGCTAAGTGATTATGAGCCCCAGTGAGAATCAAAGCGTAGCTTGCTCTTCCTTGTATCTCCAGCATTAGAACATGATCTGGCACATTATCATTCCTAATAAATGAAAATGATCGACTCAGGGCAAACAGTCTCCCAGGTCTTCAGAGCAAAGTAGGAATACCCTAAATCCTGATCCTTTTAGGACCTCACAGCTTAACCTAGCAACATGAAGACAAGAGTTTTGTGTTTTGTCCACTCGAACATCCCAGTGCTGAGGACAGGGACCACAGGCTCACCTTAAATTTTTGTTGATTTGGATCAATGAATGAACAAACCATGCACTCACTCAAGCCTAAGACCCCTGTATTAATGGAGCACCCTTCTCATTCACTGTGCATTCCACAATCATTTCTTGGTTTACCTTCTTATTTAAAAAGGCAGTAATTTTCTCCTGGGATTAAAAAAAAAAAAAAAAAAAAAAAAACCTTTGCCATAGCAAAGGAAACAAAAATAGCAAAGGAACAGAATGTAGAATGCTAAAGGTTGGCACCTGCACATCAGCCATCAGCCACATCCTTGGAACTGGTTTCCCTACAGGGTCCCTGCCAAGGACTGTGGTCTTAGTGACAAATGACTGCCGCAGTCTGGCTGGGCACAAATCACAAGCCACTGAAGCTGGAACAAACTTTATTTCTGAACTCCACCAGCACACTCCACACACGCTCCCCGGGAACTATCCCGAACCCCACGTGGCTAGTCCAGGAACCAGCCACCGGAAATATCTCCTCTGGAAATCCCTCCTCCTGCACTTCCCCAATGGGAACTCTCCGGGAATCCCCCCCCAAAAAAAACTCCAAAGTAGCGGCCAAGGCGGATAGTAATGCCTCGCCTGTCAACCAATACTATTGGCAAAATGCCAGGGGCCATTCCAACTCATCTGTGGCTCTCAGCAAATGACCACACAGTTATCAGATGCATTTTGTCAATAATACTAATAATAAAGAACAACTCTTCTCTGCAATTACCAGACACAGGCATAGACTTGATGAAGTCTTGATATAGCCTGCATTTGTCCAGTGAAAATGAGTCTCCTTTCATGGGTATGTGGTTTGACTAGGTTGGGTCTCCTACACTCACTTACCACATCTACCTAAAGACCTTAGAAATGACCAACTTGAGTGGGATTTATGTGAACAGGACTCAAAGTTGAAACAACTTCTGGTTAATCTAATGAATTGTTTCATTAACGAATTGCAAGTTTTATTTAGATCGTTGCCTGGGTATTCATATTTAGATCTTTATGTCCAATACCTTGTCTCTACATTCTAAGTATTATACCCAAATATTTTTCAAATGGTAGTCTACAGATTATTTGTGGAAAATTTTATGCTGCAGCAAAAGAAGAAAAATACTATTGTATCCATATCCATATCCACATCTCTATCTCTATATCCTATGTTTAACCAACAGAAAAATGTGACAATTCTACATCATGCTGCAATGGAACAAAAAATCATGTGAAAATCTAATATCCATGCCTGTTCATTGTGGGTTCCTGTTTGTTACTGGTTCTCTCTCTCTTTTGTTTTTTTATGGTTTGGATTGCGGTGTTCCCTTAAAGCTCAGGTGGGAAACAATATAAGAATGTTTAGAGGTGAAATGATTAGATCATGAGAGCATTGACATAATTAGTGGACTAATCCACATCAGGTGGTGGCTGTAGACAGGTATGCTGTGGCTGAAGAGGTGGGTCACTGGGCTGTGCCTTTGGGGTTTATATTGTGTCTCGGGGGGGCAGAGCTCTCTGCTTCCTGGTTGCCATGCCCTGAGTTATTTTCCTCCACCAGCCCCTTCTCCGTGATGTTTTGCCTCACTTTGTCTCCAGAGGTACGGAGTAGGCCACCTGTGGACTGAGACCACTCACCAGGAGCCAAAGTAAACTTCTCCTCCTCTAAATTGTTCTTGTTTCGTCTTTTGGTTACAGCAACAAAAATATGACTAACATATCCTTATCACCAGGAGATGGTGACCATGGTCGGTCACACCCTTTCCTCGAGGGTGAATTTCCAATCTCCTGACCTGATTCCATGACCCTGTCCTTTAGTGTTGTTGGACTCAGTGTGCTCAGGGTCTTGCTGGATGTTGGTATAGCTCCTCTGATAACATCAGACCTGGTTTCTCTGTTCTCTTCTTTCCATGATGACAGTCAGATGAATATTTTATACATAAATTGTGAGTTTTTTACAGCAAAAGGAAAGAGATACATGTTTTAATAGATTATTAGAGGTAGCCTGTAGATAATGCTGATGAAGAGGACAGGGCCTGGGGATGGGCTTGGAGCTCAGAGGTAAAAGCACTTGCCTAGCACATGGGAGGCACTGGGTTCTGTCCTCAGCACCACATAGAAATATATATATATATATATATATATATATATATATATATAAAGCTATACAACTAAAACATTTTTTTTAGAAGGATAGTGCATTGACTTTGAAAATAAAAACACATCAGGTCACACATCAGGTCACACTCCTCTCCCACTTCTCCACCTTGCAGGTGAACCAAGGATGAGCATGGATTTTGCCCATCAGCAGAGGACTTGTTCCATACAGTAGAAGGATGCCTGTCATCATGAAGTGACATTAAAGCGAGAAGACCCTCAGATGGAGGAATGAGCGGTCATTGCTGGGCGGGACTTGTGCTTAAAAGAAAATCTCCAGTGAGCAGGTGTGTTACATCAAATATATTGATGTCTCCTTTAGTGAAGCGGAAACAGGTAATCTTCACCTCCCCCGGCCTGGCTTCCTTCCTCTGCACAGGGGACACTGTGCAGGGTGGCCGTTAAGTCAATGCAACTTAGGAGCTATGTAAGGAGGCTGCTTTTTGTTGTTGTTGTTGTTCCTTAAGGAAAGACTCCGGGCTTTTCTCATCCTTATCTATCCTAGGATATACCTACAGAGAGAGCAGCAAACATGGGACTTTTGAATTTGATTGTGTTACTGAGTTAACAGTTTCCCGTGACTGCCCTGCATGCAGGCTGTGGGTTGACTAGGGATCTGCACCAGGATGCAATTCCCGGCTACATCTCTTCTTTCCTCTTTAGTCAAAAGTGGAAGGAATAGCCTCTATCCTGGGCTTCAACCCAGAGGATAAAAGTGAAATCAATAAACAGCATTAACATTTCTGCGTAAACCTGATATTGGCCACATTCTACCGACCCAGGAAAGTCCCAGGGCCATGGCTAGTATATATCCTAGTTATGAGGCATACTAGAGGGGATCGGGCAAAATCCAGGATGCTGACTGCTAGGGCAGAAGAGGGTGCTCAAAGAGGCAACCAGGGACCTTGGCCAGGCCCCAGGGGTCTCACGGGAACCCCTGGAGTGTCCACAGACACTGCCCACTGCTTCTCTCACTTGGTCTTAGATGCTCATTCCTGCAACTCTTGACTTCATAGAAATTTCAGGGGTGAGGTTAAGTAAGATGGAGAAGAAGCAGAAAGGGGAAGAAAGGTCAGCAAAAGCAGAAAGAGAAAGGCGTTGGTTATTTCATCCCTTTCACCATAAGATGAAGTCCAGAAAGAGGGTGAGAAGCACAGATGACAGCTTCACAGATGTGGCGGTGTCCAATTTTGACGCCAAGTGTCAGACTCCTGTGTGCTTTTGAATAACTCCTCCCTGATGAGCTCAGCCCAGGAATATGTCCAGAGAGTCTTTCTGCATTTCTAAAATGTTGGGTTGTTTCTTTCCTAAGGAATGAGACTCACTCCCTGCTCTGAGATGCCTTTGTTTATGCTATCGTTAGAAATAGACTGTGAGTCCAGCCCCCCATTCACTCGGATCCCTGCTTTACCAGAACTCCTGAAAACAGGTGGAGCTCTGTGGAACCCTCAAAGGCCTGGAATAAATTTCACTGAGTAGTAATTTAATAATTTTATTTCAATCCACATAGCTATGTGTATAGGTGACATCGGTCACGTCTCCTGTCACAGTGAACAGTGATGTTTCTTCTTTGAACTAAATTTAAATTGAATTTGAAAAGACTTTCCTGCACGTAAAAAGAAAGACAAGGGAAATGCCTTGTTTCTCTCCATCCTAGGAATTGTAGGAAATAGGTTGCCGAGTGTTTTATCATCCCAAGTTCGTATTCTATAAATCTGAACCGGGAACTGTGAAAAATCAAGCCACTTAAACGATATTAGGAGAAGAGGGAGGAGAGAACCACAAAAACCTGCAACTCATGTTCAGTAATTAGCCGACTATATTCTGATTTAAGGAGCACACCCCCAAATCATTCTCCAGTATCTTCCCAACTATGCTGCACACGTGGATACAATGATCGTAGGATGACTAATTTTTAAATATATCTCTTGCTCCTGAAAAAAAAAAAAACTGTCCTGTCAAATAAGTACTGCTTTCCAAATTTCCTGACTACAGGTTTCCTTCATGATATAATTAACTTAAATGACTGTCTCTCTGACAGATGACGAAGGTAGGGCAATTTATGAAATGACTATCCATCTTATAGTTTATAAACCCTTACTCATGATTGGCTTCACACACTGATTAATAGACGCTGTCTATTTCAGACTTTAATTAAAAGCAATAAAAGCAGTCAACTGTAGGCCACAAAGATGTTGGTGACACAAAAGAGGACCATTGCAGAGACAGACGATCGACACTGAACAGACTTAGTGTAGACTTGTAGGTAGATCCACGTCCCTGTGTTCACACCCTCTCTGGCCAGCCACTGTGGCAGAGGGGCTGAACAGATACCAGGAAGAGAGAGTTAACACAACTCTCAGCTTTAGACCCAGTCTGTTTTAATTTATGAGAAATATGCATAAGATTGTTTTCTTATAAGTGTCAAAGTTAATAGAAATGAAAAAGAAGATGGTTTTTGAATGATCAAACTCTAGCCTGCGAGTTTGGTATTATAAAATCCACATTACAAAGTTCAGTTGCATCTGAAGAGTAACGTAATGTAAATCATTGAACGGATGCCATAAACTGTTGTGAGTGAGAGAGAAATGTTAGGTCAACCATTACTGATTCCTGTGGTGTTACACTAATTATTCACTTACCCTTCTATGAGAAACATTTACTTGTCCTCTAAGCCAGATGACTTTTAGAGAGCTAGCAAGCAGAGATGAAGCGGTGTGACCAAACCTGAGAGGCTGCAGGTCCTCTGTGAACAGAACATCACAGGAGCGTCCTTTCTGCCTGCAATCTGCTGCCATCACTAAGCACCTCGGCAGCAGAAAGCTGGAACTGAAGAGGGCTTCTCCCAGACCTGATGAACATATTCAGATATTTACAAAATACACACTTACTTTCTTACAGATGGTAAGGGCTGTTCTGCATGGGCATACCTGGATCAAAATCCAATGAGGTCAGTTGGGCGCTGTGGCCCACGCCTGTAATCCCAGCAACCCAGGAGGCTGAGGCAGGAGGATTGCGAGTTCAAAACCAGCTGCAGCAATTTAGTGAGGCCCAAAGAAACTCAGTGAGATCCTGTCTCTAAATAAAATACAAATAAAAGGGGAAAAAAGGGGGCTGGGGATCTGGCTCAGGTTTAGTGCCCCTAAATTCAATCCCTCATACCCACTTCCTCCCACCCCCCCACACACCAAAAAAATCCAATAAGTTCCAAAAGCATCTGAACTCAGTTTATCTTTCATTGGAAGGCTTCCTTCTCTAGTTGACCCATGGAGAAACTTGCAGGGCTTTGTACGAATCCAGACCTAGTTTTCAGGGCTCAGTTTGGAGGACAGAAGGCAGGCAGGTACCAACTTAGCAAAGTAAGAGGGCAATGAAATCAGGTGTGACAGGAAAAATACTAACATATGATTTCATAGCGTCTCCCCTTTCACTCCCCATTAGAGATAATCCTGTTTGTGCCAGTTTTATTCTGGCTCTTACTGTGTAGATTGAAGTGAGGGGAGAGGGCAGAAATGAAAGAAGCCCAAACCAAAGTGACTGATATTGTAGGAAAAGGCAGATAATTAATCCTAGAAAAAAAGAAAGCACGTGGAGCTGGAGATGAACACAAACGCCCTCCACACTGCCCAGGCAGAGGCAGGGTGCAGTCAGCCCTGCTCATGGCCAGACTGGCTGATGGTGAAGCAGGATCCAGGCATGAGGGAAGGGGCTGGTTTGGCTCCTGGGCTGGGACAGAGGGGGTCTCACTGATGTGAGACAAGCACCGGGTCACTAGCTGCACTCCCTGCCGCCATTTAAAATTTTTCATTTCCTTAAGTGCCTTTGATCTTTTAAAAGATAGATGATAATAAATATTTGCATTATTCTATTTCTTTAGTTACAGAGTTAGGATTTTATTTTGATAAGATATTTTATAAATTTATCCGCAATAGAATAAATTTGTAGAGATTTTATTAATGTGATATTATATCTTATTTATAATTTATTTTTTAGATACATATATTAAAAAACAATCTGTCCAGTTCTTAAAGCTACCAAAGTTCTGTTCACAGTCACTCAAACAATACAAAATTTAAAGTATACTTTTCTGAATTATTTATATGGTCCAACTTAATAAACATCAGTTGGTTAGAGGTATATTACCCTTCCTGCTGAGAACCATGTCTTCTTACTTTAAATCAGAATTAGAATTGTATACACACACACACACACACACACACCACGTACACACACATACACACACACTGGCATTTTCTTACTGGGATACATGTTATGGTGCCAGCAGTTTCTGTAATCATCATACCAGTCGTAGAACACCATAGGTCCATACCCCCGAAACACAGGAGGAACAAGACCTTTCTTTATCATATTCAGTTCAATTTAATATAATAGCACAGACCTTACTGATCATTTTATCATCAGTCCACAAGTTCTTTAAAATCACAATATTAATAGTTTTTTTAAATTAAAATGCATCTCTAGATCCTTTTCGTTTGATTATGAGACTACACTGATTTGCATATAAAAATCAGTGAATATGAATTGTAAGAAATTAGTGATAGGAAACCTGAGGCCTAAAAATGTCTCTCTACCTGTGAATTTGTCCCATTTCTAATTAGCAGGGAAATCCAAATTTGTATGTAAATCATTTTCACAACACCCAGCTCAGTCCGCAGACTTCTCCAAATTCGTTTTTGTACAATGTTCCTGTAAAATGTGGGCATGGATAAAAAATTTTTTTTTAAAAAATGTGGGCAGGGTTGATGGGGTCAGAATACTTACATGGAATGCAAGCTCTTCCTCCTAACCACAGGATACCCCTGGACATTCACTGGAAGTTATCTTGGGTTTCTTATCCATGAAATGGACATAAAAACTGTACAAGTCTCCAGTGTTCTTTGAGAAGTTTTTACAAAGTTGTGCATGGAGAGTGTTCAGGACTCAGCACAAGAGACAACACATAGAAAACTTCAAGCAAAAGTGACAATCATGTCATTTATGACAATCAAAACTGCAGGGGTCACTGCTTTCAGTGTCCACTCTGCAACTTGCACAAGATAGGACCGGAGTCACTGGTTCCCCAGCAAGGACCCTGGTGGACCATAAAAGCATAGCCTCCACATCTTTTTCTTTCTTTATTTTCCTTTTTCTTAAGAGAGAGAGAGAGAGAGAGAGAATTTTTTGATATTTATTTATTTTTTTTTTAGTTTTCAGCAGACACAACATCTTTGTTTGTATGTGGTGCTGAGGATCGAACCCGAGCCGCACACATGCCAGGCGA